TTCGCTGGTGGGCGAAACGGAAAGAGGAAAAAGGAAAAACGTGAAGAAAAACGCCTGGTGACACTAGGGAAATATGTCAAGAGGGACGAGCGCACAAAATTAGAAGAAAATCAGGTAAATTTTCAAAATAAAACATTTTTCAGAAAAAAAAAAAATCTTTCTGTGGTGCGGCCCGGTACCAAATGGCCCACGGACCGATACCGGTCCGCGCCCTGGTGGTTTGGGACCACTGGTGTACATTGTTTATAAACATGACAGCTGTCCCAGTTAGTAAGGTGCTCTCGCCCAGACTAACTGATGCGATAGACCTAGGACGAAGCACGGCGTTCCCTCTTAGAGGGGAAGCTTGTCGCAGCCTTTGGAGGGCAGGAGGTCTGCAGCTCCAACCGATGGTCACAAGGCAACACGCGATAAGCCGAAATATTTCTCAATATCAGAGAAATAGCTTGTTTAAGCTTAGCTACCACGGTAGCTACCTGCGTAACGAGGAGATGAAATAGAAATCAACACTAGCACGATTACAGTTGTTTTTGTTGCCTTATGGTTACCACAGCTAGCAGGTTGTCTTTCTCCTGACTGAGTGTGGTGCTAGTTGACTGGATCAACACTAGAACTGGCTACATTTCTGATGGGACCTTACGGCTAAAATATTTAGCAGGGTGTTCTCGCCCAGGCTAACTGGATGAGATGCTACGTTTCACTACATCGACACGGACATTGTGTCACTAGAGATCTAGCAGTGGTCACGGTTAACCCTGTGTCCTCACTTGGGCAAACACAGTGGAAAGTGGGTACTGAGACTGCAAATAGCACAGTTAGCGAAGTGTCCTCGCTCAAGCTAACTTGCAGAGATGCTAAGTGGACTAAATAGACATTGACGTGGTGTCCACTAAGGCTTTTTACACAGTGTCGCTATCGGTTGGCAATGTGTCCTTGCTCAAGGTGAAACACAATTAGCCTCAGCGACTGTCCTAGTGAAGAGAGTGTTCCCGCTCCCCTCTAACTGTAATGACCAGCTATTCGGCTTGTTTCCACAGTAGCAGAAGTGCTCCCGCTCGAGCTAACTGGTAGCAAAATACCCTCACGAAGAGCATGCCCTCGCTACCCTCTCACTGTAAGGACCAGGACCAGTAAGGACCATCTGGCCAGTTTCCACAGTGGTAGAGCTGCTCTTGCTAAAAAGACAGGCTTCGGATACATCCAGTCACCGACTTGAGGTCGGTCCCAGTGTTGCCATTGCAAATAAGGCACAGCAGACGCCTTGCGTTCTGTATCCAAGGGAGAGTGGTTCACATCTGTCAACTGCTTGTGGTGATGTACCTTTTGTAACTGCAGGGCGAAAGATTCTTACCTCCGGAGGCGACGCTCAGTGTTGTAGAACAGGACTCTGCTCTGCACACAGGGGCCTGCCAATGTTCAAGAGCTAGCGCTCAAACATTTCCCGCTGTACCGCTAGGGAGAGCAGGTTTTTTCCGGTTGGACAACACCTCTGCTGTGTTTTGACAACAATATCAGGGAGGCAACAGAGTTGGAACTGATTACGCTTATCCGTATGCCTTCTTAATTGGGCAGCCTTTGCCTGATCAGCTTTAACCCAGCTAGGAATGGCTACTGCATCCACAGGTGATGCCGACCCACTGCCCCCACCGGTTCTCCCTGACGGAGAAGACCACCACTGTGGTTTCTTTCATTCCCCTTGCCTCTCGTATCAGACACCTCCCTCATTGTTTCCACCTGTGTCTCTTTCCCCTGTGTATTAAGTATATGTCTACTACTGGTTCCGTGCCAGTTTGTCTCTTAATGTTCATGAGCTTACCAGCGAGTGTGCCTTTCCGTGTCTTGACCCGTTTTTGTTCACCAGTGACTCTTTGCCCGCTGATTCGGATTCATCTGCCTGCCTTGTCCGAACCCCTGCCTGAACTCAAGACCTTGTATTTGTTAATCTGGCCTCGAGTCCGCTTTTAAGTCTAGGTCCTTGTGGCTCCCAGCTCCCTAACTTTACCTAGTAATCTAACAAATCGCCTTCCAACAAGTATACATACAGTCTCCTTCAAACATAAACTTGCAAAGGAGGTTTACTGAAAAACAATAAATTAGTTCATCCATGGTTTGGTTAAAAATAAATCTAAATCCTGTGTAGCATTGTATTGGCCTTTGCCTATTGTTGGTATAGCGTTTCTGTTGACGGCCTGTTTATTCAGAGTTTTAGAGTTCTTTGGATACTGTTTTATTTAACTAGAAAATACTTCCTCGAGACAAGTGGGTTCAAGCCAAATCCCAATTGTATGGTACTCAATAGCAAAACAGTACTGTATTGTCAAAACTGGAATTTAAATAATAAATCATAATAGCACAAAATAAAAATGTCATTGTTTTACTCAATAACACATCAAAGCTTTGAGTTGTGAGTAAAGTGCAGCGGGGATCAGACAGACGGGAAAAGTGCACTAAAATAGGGTTCATTTGACAGATTGGTGCTGCGGGGCCGTGGTAGGGATAGGCTGTTCTGGTTACTGGCACAGACCAGAGGACAAGGATTAATGATGGGAACTTTTGCCCTGAGTCCAGGGCGTGGGGATTGTTGAACGCCTGCATTTGTTTGTGGGAGTGAGTTAGTGAGTGAAAGAGAGTTCCCTTTAATTTTTAATCCACAACAACAGAGCCTGTGTGCTTCTAACTTGCTCTGCAAAAGTCTATTTCAATCTCGACCCACGCTCAAGATCATATATCCCATATATCCCACAACTTTTTTCAAGCCACGCAATTCAAAATACAATTCCTCGCTTTTTACCTAAACAACATCCCCCTGGAGATAAGAAACAAACTGGATTTGTATTAATTCTTTAAGTCCCTGGCGAGGAGAAAAAAAGAAGAGTGAGTTGAGTTATTCCCGGGCCATAACTTGCTCTCCATAAGTGTAAAATGGGATGAGATATTCTGCCTCTCGGTCTTAACGTAATGTAAGAGAGTGTGAAATTAAACTGCATATGAATAAAAGGGGACCCTTCATTGTGTGCAGCCGACTGGCTTATCTGGAAATTCAGACAACTGGAACATCCAAAGCCTCCAAACTTGTAGCAATCCTTTGTGCGGCTCAAGACCAAACAATGTAATATCAGAAAGCCGGAGAGGCTCTAAATCCTGTGTCAGATTGGCAAACACAAAGTAGCTTGCATCATGGCCGCCCGTGTGTACACTTTAAGCGTTCACGTGTCCGTCTTTGTACAATACAAAGTCGACTGTCTACTCCCTCCCGCTAACCCTGTGCGTATGCCAGCGAGTGCCTCAAATAAATCGTTCCCGCTTTAATTTCTGGCCTTTTTACCTATTGATATTCCCTGCATCTCCTAGCCTCTTTTTTAAACCCCATATATTATTTTGATTTAGAAAAATTCCAATTGAAAAAGAGATAAAGGCTAAAGAAAATGGGAAAAGAAGACAAGGGTCTGGCAAATGTACCATTATTAATAACCCAAAATACCGGCGAGGGCTCAAACTCTACATATCCCCACCCCTCCCTCTTCCTTCCTCCCTCTCCACTTTGTTTTGTCCTCCCCGTCTGTCTGTGAGTGAGTGAGCTAAGTGAAGTGGGTTATGATGGCGGTGTAATCGGCATCCTCCAAACAAACGGCTGCTGCCATTAAGGGCCATTGTGTTTGCTGCTGTGATGATCAAATTCAATCTAGGGAGAACATTCTGTGCTGGAGCTATGCCAAGGAGGGGATGGGGGGGGGGGGGGCTAGAGAAAATACTCCTTGTTCCACTCTGCTATTGTTTTCAGGGGGACTAGATGTATGCATGCTCTTCAAAAGATGCATATCGACATCGGGGAGCAGCTCAGAGTGTCGCTCAGATGACTGCACCAAGCGAGGCTAGTGTTGTAATGTTGTAATGTTTTCACAGGATGTGTTTCAATAAAGAGCTCGGCAGACTAGTGCCGCTTGGAGAAGTGCAAATGAGAAAATCCTCTCTGCTCTGTCCTCACTGTACCCTCTCCGACCAGTCCGTTTTATCGGTCCAATCCGTCATGTTGTTAACACACCTTCATGTAGTCCATGTTAGCGTTAATGGTCACCCTTCTGTGTTTCCGCTCGCCAACTCACGTGGAATGGTTTATTGTGTCAACGCAGAATAACTTTGTTACATTTACTTATTTAGTAGCTTTGAGCTTGTGACGCCTTCACAGGTGAACTTCAAGTTCCCCTTGGCATCGATGGGGGAGAATAAAATGACATCCCCATTATAATATGTACTCTACAGCCTACAGGTGGATGCTCAGATTGGATTGGGGCTTTTTGAAAACAGCAGAGACAACAGTTGATCTAAGCGACAGCATAGCTCGGGGAGGAGCGGTGTATCCTCAATAGCAACGTCAAAATAATAAAATCATTTCCTGGATACTAAAAGGTTCGTCTTTGTGAACCAAAGGAATACACACTGCTAGTAGTCATAGACTTAAACAAATGCGCAGTTTACGAAACGTGTGCGTCACGTGTTAGGCATCAGGGATGGCATGACGTAATGCTCTGAGATGCGGAAAAACCAAACTGAAACAGTTAACAGACAGTTGATAGACTGTAACACCAGTGTTGGCTGTCATGATGCATGTGATATTCTAACTTTTACTGGGACTGCTTCTTATAGTTGATACATTATCAGGATAGTAGATTACTGTCCCATGCATCTCTTAACCTTAGAGTGTGCTATAAATATCATTGTGAGGTTCTCTGTGCTTCCAAATACTTTTGCACCACAAACATGTAAACCATCAACACATTACGTCCTCAAACCATAGACTAGTGTTCACAGTGAAGGAGCACGTTTGTTGTGTCTTCAACAAGCCTTAACTGAACACAGAGACTACCTATTGTGAGCCTTTGTTAGACTCTAGCTTTGAAGAGAAATCACTCTTACACATCCCCAAATAAGGTGAGAACCCCCAAGGATCCCAACCTAAGACTTAACAGTATAATATTCTCCTGTTCTGTTTCTCTTTCCAGGCCAGAGACCATTCAGGTGCAGTTACTGCCCCTACAGCGCCTCCCAAAAGGGCAACCTGAAGACGCACGTGCTGTGCGTGCACCGTATGCCCTTCGACAACACTCAGTACCCGGACCGGCGCTTCAAGCGCTCCCGTCTAGAGTCCGACATCCCGGAGAAGAGCTCCGGCGAAACCATTGGCTGCGAATTAACCGATGATGCACGGGAGCTGTGGAAGTGACGTGATGTGGTTTTCAGGGAAGGCCGAGTCCCACCATGAGTAAAACCACCAGGATGCACGTTGTAGTTCCACAAACCTTGACTGATCAACAGCAAGACAATGAGCTCCACAAACGTGAAGTAAACATACACATATTGTAAGTCTGTGAACATTAACTAAGCACATATAATACCGTATTTGTGGTGAGGTAATTCAGCGTTTTTATTTAATTTAACAAAGTACAGGGGATTATGCGTAAAAAAACGTCAAAGGAGGAAGAGTTACAAAACGTGAATGAAATTGTGGATTCAGGCAAATCCCGAAGGAAGCCGCTGTAAAGCAGGAGAGAAGATGATGAAAATCATCAGAGCTTTTCTCCATAAATAATGCTTTTATCAGGAAAATTATCCATGAAAACGATTGAGCAAAACAGTTACTTGTGGGAGGATGGACGGGGTGGTGAAGGAAGGGAGGGATTTTGAATGCAAAACACCACCTCAGCGTCCCAAGAAAATAACACCAGTGGCTGCCATTTTCCCAGTGTGAGTGATGGGCCCCGAATGTGTGTCTGTGTGTTGTAAGGTCCGTGGTAGCCATGATGGCGTGTGTGTGAGGGATAGAGGGTAAAGGAAGGAGGGGGGGGGGTGCATTGGTGCCAGTCTGACTGGAGCTGTCATCACAGAGGAAATCAATTCAACGCGCACACACTTAGAGTCCTACAGTGGTAACCCAACTCCGGATGGCATCCAGGGGGTTCAGGTTGAGTCCCATCAGCTGACCAGAGTCACCTCCTCACCTCCTCCATCCTCCCCTTTGCTCTCACTCTCTCTATTATGAGCCCAGTCCGTTAGAATGACCCGGGAAGTTCAAGGCAGATCAATCAGTAGCGCATTTAAAGCATCCATTAGCCTACGCTATGGCTTGCTCTGCTCTGGTTTTTGCATTTCAATGTCCAGAAGTTTCCTTACTGGCTCCACATCAAGGATGACGGAGAGTTTCAGCCAATTGTGTTATAGCTTGGGCCGATTGTTTTAGATAAATGACGAGAACTTTGGCAGGTACCTAAGCAATGTAGAGCATGAGTAGTGTTTTATGCTGATATGCGAATTAATCCTGGGTGAGGGGGTCAACAAAAAACGTGCCTTGAACTCATAAAATCAAGCTAGCTTTAAGGGCAAAAGACAAAATATCAGCGTTGATTGTACTTAGTTGTGCCGCGAGCTCATGGTGTAATAGCGGACGAGGGGAAATGTACTTAAATTGTGCGGTGTCACTATTGGTGGTAGCGGGTTTGGTGCTGGGAGGCGTGTGTGTTAATGTTTCTTCTGATAAAGAGAAATGATCCGGACTTTAAGAAAGTCAATTACTTACCACACTCACACAGGCAGGAGGGAGGGCTAAAAACCTGGGGCCTGAGCTCTTCCTAAAGCAGTTTACAGTAAAACACAATGCACAATGCACACAAGATCAATGACAGGGTGAGAAATACAATCCTCCTGCACACATGCAGAGATTGACGGGTAAGCTGAGAGATACAGAAGAGGGGAAGTGTAGAAGGGAAAAGGAAAGAAAGAGAAAGAAAAGGGAGAAATGCAATTCTGGTTCTGATAGGGTCGCTACAATTTGAAAAGATTTTTGCCATACGGAAAAACACTGTATTTGCCGTACATTAAATACCAAATTTGACTTGCTACACTTTTCTTTTTTTGTAGTCAACGAGACAGTGAAGTGGTATAGGGTCTGTAGATTGTGACTTTTGTGACTGTATAGCTTGCTTTTCTGGATGTGTGCAATGCACGAACTAAACATTTACGTATATCAGAATTCTTTTTTTTTTCCAAGAAAGTCCACATTCCATTTTTTTTCGGGCAACCTGGCTTTTGCACCTAACAAAATAAACCATGTGGATCGGCACTGTTTCACCATCTTGCTCAGATGAGTCAACTACTTTTTGTTTCGACACTGGAAAGCGCCATTTGTTGTGATTCCTCCCAGACTTGTATTCTGTGTCCATCCTTGAGTGTGATGCGCTCCCCCTTTCCTGCCGCTGTAATCCCCAAATAATCCATTCCATTGTCCCCATGCTGTTTGATCTCAGTCAAGCTTCCCACTGGAGTAGCACATGCAGTTTGCTCAATTATAATCACTGGTGCAAAGGGAAGAGGAAAAAGAAAGAAAGAACCATGGTCATTAATTTCAGCCTGCAGTAGATTCTGTTGTATGCAATCCTTTAGTCCAAATACTGACCACATTCCTAAAGGAATTAGATTCATATGGCTGATGGGAGAAGTGACGAGCGGTTTTGTTGCACATAGCTTCACGTTAGATAAGTTTGTATTTAAAAGAAAAAACATCCTTTCTCATTATTTATTACTGCACATCTGTTGAAAACATATCAAACATGGACTGTTTACTCTTTCTATGGTCTAGACATTCTGATGTACTTTTAAAGCAGGAAGATTGATGTTTGTTTTTTTCCTGCAATAAAATATCTCTGGCAAACACTGTGCTTTGTATATGGTTCTTGTCCTGCCATTCAGATCAAACAAGTCCACTGAGGAAGATGAACCATTCTGACGGAAAGATTGCTGACACCTGGTATGAAAATGTTTCTGTAGCAGGAGTCGAGCTACCACCTTTAAGGTTCGCGCAAGGACGCACAGAGACACGATTTTTCTGAGGAATATGTTGTATTTATTCTCTCGCAGTGAGCAGGTTTCGCGTAGTTGTCCTCGTCGGCGCGGCGCGGCTCCGCTCGTCGGCCTTGCCCCTGAGCGTCTGCTGCAGAGTCTCGTTTTCTCTCCAGGTCCTGCTCACTGCTTATCAAGGGACACACAATCAGTTCTGATCACTTCAACCTGTGCTCTTTACTCTCCTGCCGGCACCGTCCCCTGAACCACTCCCCCGCCCGGCCCCCTGCAGCTGAGCTAACCACACCCCGCCACCACAGTTTCGCTCAAATCAAAGTGAACATTTGTTACTTAGAATTTACATTCTGTTGCCCATTAAAAAATAATGCGTATACACATTTAGAAGATGTTTGCTTGTAAATATTCAATCTTACTCGGAAAGTCGACAGACATTTACATCTGGAGTCTGGAGTACATAAAATAAATGTTGGTGGTAGGAAGAAAGAAGAAAAAGAAGAAAGAAAGTGTCAACACAGTGGGAGCAGTGTGCTGCCGTAATGGCACCCGGCAAGTACTTAGGGGTTAGGTGTCTGGCTCAGAGAGACTTTGGCATGGTTCGAACCATGGAAGACTGAAAACAAATCAGCTCTTCAATGCCGCAAACATACAATGGCAATGCTAACGTGTTGCTTTTAAAAAGGGAATGTTGACGAAGTTTCACTGTACTAGTTAATATCTTAGTTAGCGTGGTAGCATTTCTAAAGTAACACAGGCTGATGGGAGTTTCATTTATTTTGCAGATATTTGGTTATTCATCATAGTTGGACATATTAGAATTATGTCCGGTTATTGGTCCTTGAAAAATTAGAAGATCAAAAGAGTTCTGATAATTTGTCCTAGGAGGAGCATTAACACACTCCCAACTAACTACTATGGTGAATGTGTAAAAAAATAGAGCTTCTGTAAGCATTCCATTTGTGATGGATACCGTATGCATTTCAGGAGCAGTATGTCAAATGTTTTTGTAAGTGTAAGGTCTGAGGAGCAATGTAAATGCAAAAAAGAAAAAACAGCAATACAAGTAAAAGAAAAGTGGGGAAAAGGAAAACAGCAGCTGAATTTGAAATGTTGTCCCCAGGATGAGCGCTTTTTACTGTTAATGGAGAAATAGAGTGCGTGGCATATTTAATGGGTTTTGTTTTTATTGTACAGCACTGAATAATTAACTGGGAAGCAGCATGTCATATAGATTTATCTTTTAATTAAAATAACGTGGTTCACGCATATTTGAGTGGTAGTCTAAATAAATGCAATATCCAAATTTATGTTTTGTTTATCTTGCTGTTAATTATCCGGGAGATTGTTCACTGTACAGCCCTTCATATTCCGTCTCACTGTATCCGCCCGACACCCCCCCATTTCCCTCTTTCTCCAAGTAATAACCAGTCAGGTTTTATTAATTTATGGATAATTGTGGCTACATGAATAAGGTTTGCAGCATGAAACCAGCTCATTCTCATAAAGTGAGATGAATGTGTCAGACTGGTTGATGCCTCGACATGACAGCAATAAAGAGAGGAACATTTTTGTGTCCATGTCTCTAGAATCATTCTAATTTCCAATATCTTCAAACTAGACCAGAGACAATTGGAAACGATTAGGGACTCCTTGGATGCATGTTAGAGGCAGGGAAATAAACCCCAGCCAAACGGCAAAGACAACAAGGTTGAACATTTACATGCCTCGAGATATTGGCAATGGCAATCCACGCAAACAATTATAATAATACTTCTTTCAGAAACGCCATGAAGGTGCAGCACGTGGCACAAAGGTACAGGTCAATCCAACTGTTGCTGAGATATTTCAGGCCACAGTGGTGGGCCAAATTACATGTACAATGAAAAATGAAGGAAAGATTTTACTACCACTCCCATATGTGGTTTTATTCTCTGTGAGTGTAATCCTCAAATTTCAATTTGCGATGCGCCGCCACTATATCTATATAGCACGTTGTGATTTGTCATTTTACGATTAAAAAAATAGCTACGGCTGTAAATGAGCCTCCTGATTACTCCTGGAAACAGCACAAAGACAAACAAACCAAAACGTTGCCTTGATGACAAATGCATACGCGAGTATATTCAATTCAATTAATTATTTTGTAAAGCCCAAAATCAGAGGGCTCTACTGTCGTGAGAGAACAACACACTACTAATTCTCACATTCATATTCATTGCTTGCCTGGAAGAAATATAAACTAAATATGGGGTTAGCGTAGAAGAGATCACACAAAAAGGGAAGTTAAAGAACGGTTCCAATGTACTCAACAAAAACTGTCACCACAGATACAATTAACTGGTACCTGACCGATTGTTTTTGATGTCGCTAAGTCAAGACTGAACTATTTTGAGACAGGCCAAAGCCAGCCCAAGTTCCAAAATGGAAAGTTTGTGTTAATATTTAATCAAAAGAAACATCTGCAATGTGTCTCTATAGTGTTATATGGCAGCAACAATTGACAAAAAATGAATAATTATTCAATTCATTTCATTTTGTTTAGCCCAAAATCGCAAATGACAAATTTGCCTTTACAGTCTGTAGACATGCAACATCCTCTGTCTTGAAACCCTCTCATCGGTACAGGAAAAACTCTCAACAAATAACCCTTTCATGGGGAAAAAGGAAGAAAAAAAAGGGATCCCTCTCCCGGGATGGAAAGACTAAAATGGATGTCATGTGTACAGAATTAACAATGTAAAAGATGCACAATACATTCAGTTACTATAACAGAAATGATTAACGTAATTGCAAGTAGTAAGCAAGGTGTACGGCAGGACTACTGCAGGGACAACCGCCATCCGATAGAACCACCATCCACAGAAGCCTGTGGGGAGGGAAAGCACAAAGACTTTAGAAGGGTAATGTTGGTTTATGATGACAGTAATAGTAATATGATTTATATTTAAAATAATAATAATGATAATGATAATAATAGCAGCAGCAGCAGGTGTCAGCCGGGCCACGGTAAGAGGCAGGAACAGGGTCCTGATATTACTATGATCCATGAAAATTTGTGTGTCGAGAAAGCACAAATACTCTGTGGAAAAAACAAAGTTGGTGCTGGGCTTTAATGTTTACAGCAATAGAAATGGAAATATCTATGGTGTTAGAAGCGCTAGGTGTCCACGGGGCCAGGCAGGAGTCAGGACCAGGGTCCAGACGGAACTACGATCTACGGAGACCTGCGAGGCGAGAAAGCATAAAAAAACTCTAGGAAAGAAGCTGAATTTGTGATGGGCATTAATAAACTGTGGATTATTGTAGAAGGAGAGAGTGAGAGCTTTGTCCGGGCTAACCAGAACCAGCCTATAAGCGATATCAACGAGAAAAGTTTTAAGCTTTATCTTAAAAGAGCTGACCGAATCTGCCCCCGGACTGAAAGTGGGAGCTGGTTCCACAAAAGAGGAGCTTGATAACTCAAGGCTCTGGCTCCCATCCTAATTTTTAAAACTTTATGAACAACAAGTAACCCAACATCTATGGAGGACAGCTGCCTTGTAGGCCAATACGGTGTTACAAGCTCTTTAAGATAAGATGGTGCCTCACCAGCAAGTGCCTTGTAGGTGACAAGAAGTACCTTAAATTATATTCTTGATTTAACAGGGAGCCAGTGCAGAGAAGTTAATACAGGAGTAATATGATCTCTTTGATCTTTTCTTAGTTCTGGATAATACACGTGCTGCAGCATTCTGAAGCAACTGGAGAGGTTTAGGAGATTTACAAGAGCAGCCTGATAACAAATTACAGTAATCCAGTCTAGAAGTAACAAATGCATGAACTAGTTTTTCTGCATCCCTTTGAGACAGGAAGGTCTTGATTTTCTATATATTACGTAGATGAAAAAAGGTAGTCCTTGAAGTCTTCTTTATATGAGAGTTAAAGGTCATGTCCTGGTCGAATAGAACTCCAAGATTCTTTACGGTGCTGCTGTATACCAGACCAATTCTGTTTTCAATTCTGTTTAGCATCAGGAAGTCTAACAAGCTGGTTGGTCTCTCCTGGCTTGATCGACAGATACAGTTGAGTATCGTCTGCGTAACAATGGAGGTTTATGCAGTGTTTTCTGATAACGTCGCCCAAAGGAAGCATATACAGGGTAAATAAAATCGGTCCAAGCACAGACTCCGTGACCAACATTGGTGGTCATCGAGGATTCACCGTTTACAACCACAAACTGGAATCGATCCGATAAATAGGATTTGAACCAGCGGAGTGCAGTTCCTTACCAATCAAATGTTCTTGTCTCTTTTTGTGTATGTTGTTTTTTTATTTACTTGATGGACTCGACCCCAGTTTCTGCTGGATCAATGCTTGGCAACAAGTGTGTTGCTCTTCTGTTCCTTTCCACACATTACTGCCAGCTCAAAATAACAGTGCTTCCCAAAGTACTCAGTATTATACACGGTGAACAGAAGTAGCCCAAACTTATAAATCTGAGAAAAATGTAAATAGTACAATTTGCAAATCATATATCATCTCTGTAACTGAGCAGGAACAGCCACCTCATTTGAAGCAGCTTTCAAAAGCCAGATGAAGGACAACATGGGGGATAGAGGGGGGAAAACAACCAAGAAAAAACGTATTTTATGAGGTTGCTTAGAGGCTGCACGGCCACACAACTACACACGCCATATAGTCGCTCTGTCATTTGCTCGTTTACAGCTAACTTATGCACATTTATTTGGTTGTTTTGGAATATAAATCAACAACTCAGCGGTGAAAGATTATTTTTGTCAAGCAACACAGCATTCTGTTTTTTTTTTGGTGTTTTATAATAGTGGAGATATTCAAGCCCGCTGAAATGGCATTTTTTCA